GACAAACACCGATGCCCGCCAAGCACTACATGGGAAGAAACAAAGAGAGAGAGAGAGAGAGAGAGAGAGAGAGAGAGAGAGAGAGAGAGAGAGAGAGAGAGAGAAAGAGAGAAAGAGCGACATGAGACGAAAATGAGACGCCATCAGCGAGTGTTGCTGTGCGCCGTGGCGGGGTCCACTTGTTATCATAATGATTTCCACATCCTTTGTCATGGTTGGCACTATCGTTGTCTTCCCTGCAGTCCTCTCCCTTGCCTTTGACTCTGTCAATGCTTTCCTTGCTGTCTCCATTATCTTCAATGAATGTCCTTCAAACATGTCATGTCCTCTAGTGTCCTGTTTAACACCGGAGCATGAGGATCATGTAACGGAACCCAAGTCGAACGAACAGTGGAGATTCAAGTTCGTAGACTGAACCCCGAACCCGAAGCTAAACCAAACCGTAGCCAAAACACTAAAACGAATCACAAGACCATAGCAAACCATATCCCACGTCAGCAAAAGCAACTGAAACCCCGAACCCAACACATGCAAAACCTGATCCGAACAACTGCAGCATCTGATCCCAACGAATACAAAGCTGAAACCTAACCTGGACCCAAAATCAACCCATGTTCTGTCTGAAGTTCTCTGAACCAATCACATTGAAGTAAAATCCGCCGGAAATCCAAACCCAACCCATACCAAGGCTCAAACCCAAAGCCGACCCTGATCGAAACCCATGCCTGAATCCAAGCCCAAATACAACTCAACTGTCAGATTCTGCAACCCAAACCCCAACCCAAACCCCAACCCAAACCCAAACCCCAACCCCAACCCCAACCCCAACCCAAACCCCAACCCAAACCCAAACCCAAACCAAAACCCAAACCAAAACCCAAACCCAAACCCAAAACCCAAAACCCAAAACCGAACCACAGATAAACCAAAAGGAAATGAGGACCAAACAAAAGCCAAATTCAAATCAAAACCCAACCAACACCCAACCAAAACCGGACAAACTGAAAGCAGAGCAAAACAAAACCAAAACTAGAAACCAAAACCAAAACCAAAACCAAACCGAAACGAAAACGAAAACCAAAACCAAAACCAAAACCAAAGCGAAGCCTAAACCAAGCCAAAACCAAACTGAAACCAAACCAAAACCACAAGGAAAAGCACACCAAAACCCTAAACCAAGACCAACGAAATCCAAACTCAAAATTCAAACAAAAAAGCCAAACTGAAAAGTTACTGAAATCCGTAGGCCAAGCCAATCCACACGCGGGAATCCAAATGTAGCCGAATCTGATCCCAAGCTCCGACTAGAGAGCAACCTAATAGCCCAACCTGACTGCAAAATGAAACCAAACCTGATGCAAAACAAAAAAAAACGACTCCTGATCAGAATGACATCCAGCAACCAAAAACCTGAAGCGGATTTTTGAATGAATTGATGCTAAGAGTGATACCAAATGCAACGAAACACATTCATCTGTACCGATTCCCTCCCTCTATTTTGTCCTCATGTAGAGCTCTTACGTGACAATTTCGAGCCTTTCCATTGCATTTCAAGAACTAGGAATTCTCCAAAGCTGAAAAGTTACCCAGCCTTCCCCTTGGTAAGCCAGCAGACAGTGGATTCTGTTTTTCACCTTTCAGGTCTCGCTACTGACCCCAAAGCGAGAAATCATTGTCCCATCTACTTTCCACCTGTACTTGCCAAAATATACACCTTCCTGTCTTCACCCAAAGGATTGATAGAATTGTCCTGTTTCCAAGGGACGCTGGACCCGGTTTCCAGCACATGTCGCCGCTCCCCACCAATAGATGTACCAGCCCACCAGCCAAGCCCTCAATCCCGGCGGTTCTCGTACCACCACCAGGATAGTGGACTTGCGAAAAGGGCTTTTCTTTCAAAAAAAGAAAAAGAAAAAAAGAAAAAAAAAAAGGGATGATCTAATCGTCACCGAACCTGAACATTCGGACAACTTGGAGTCGAACCCTAAACCCTAAACCCCCCCATCGCTGGAACAGGTCACTGCACATTGCTGAGTTTTATCAACATGAATATTGTTGTGCATGGTGCATGTTGACCCACAACCAGCCAGCATGGTATTGGATGTCCTAGAACAACTGGCATTTGGCTAGCTTGGACTCAATCCCCTCCCCTTGGAGACATTGAAGCCATCTGTGCTTTTGGGTGGCTCCAAACAACTGACATTTGGATAGCTTGGACTCGATCCCCTCCCCTTGGAGGCCTCCCCTTGGAGGCATTAAACCCATCTTTCTTTTGGATGTCCTCAAACAACTGGCATTTGGCTAGCTTGGACTCGATCCCTTCCCTTTGGAGTCAATTGAAGCCATCTGCTTTTTTTGGACGTACTCAAACAACTGCATTTGGATAGCATGTCTTTGATCCCCTCCCCTCCCCTCCCCTCCCCTCCCCTGCCCTTGGAGACATTAAAGCCATCTTTCTTTTGGATATACTCAAACAACTGACGTTTGGATAGCTTGGACTCGATCCCCTGCCCTTGGAGACATCGAAACCATCTGCTTCCGGATGTCCTCCAACCACTGACATTTTTGCACAGCTTGGACTTGAGCCCCTTCCCTTGAAGACACCGAAGCCATCTGCTTTTGGATGTCCTCAAATGCAACTGACGAACCCAGTATAGGATATTCATGGACATGTACTGTGTTGCGGTGGGTTGTGGTGAGAGGACGCAACCCTGGTGCAAGCCCAAATCAACTCCTTCGCATAACTTTGTGCCCATCTGTGAAACAACCCAAATGTCTCTTTCTACTCCCATGCAAGTGCGTAACGGTATAAGACATTACTCATGCCAGTGAGAATTGGTTCACCATCTTGGTCCAGAAAAAAGCTACCCCCTCCACAAAGAGGTCAGGATCGGCGCACTTAACAGCTTACCAAGTCTGACTTATGTGTCTCGTCACAATGTCGTTTTCTTTTTTTGTTTCTTTTTTGTTTTTTGTTTTTGTTTTTTGTTTTGTTTCTTTTTTTTGTTTCTTTTTTGTTTCTTTTTTTTGGTTCTTTTCTTGTTTCTTTTTTTGTTTCTTTTTTTGTTTCTCTTTTGTTTTGTTTGTGCCCCGTTCTATTGGTAGGGAGCGAAAACCTGCTGGAAAACAGGTCCAGCATCCGTTGACGAAAAGATTACCCGCCCACAGTTAACGCTTCCCCGCGTTACGGCCCAGGGAAGCCTGACATCGACCTGGATGCACGGAATTTCTTTCAAACGTTCTTTAGACAATCCGCTTACCCGAAATCGTTTTTTTTGTCTCTGGCCATTGTTCTTCACAGTCGATGGCCGGATATTAAAAATACGGGTCGGTGGGACATTGGCTCTGCTCTCTGGCCATTGATCTTCATAATCGATGATCAAGAGAGAGAGAGAGAGAGAGAGAGAGAGAGAGAGAGAGAGAGAGAGAGAGAGAGAGAGAGAGAGAGAGAGAGAGAGAGAGATTATACATTTAAACCCCTGATATCGCATCGATATGATTTGTTTTCCTTTCCATTCGTGCGGGCTTGGGTGACTTGGCTATGGTGTTTGCCTCCGCTTGTATGCTCTAGTTGCAGTTGTAGGCCAGTGATTTTTCTCCTCTTTTCGATCGCTAAGTAAAGGAAAGAGGTTTATCCACGAACTTTGTGTGAAAGATTTTTGCAGCTGAAGGTGCAGCTCTGATTTACTTGTCCTCCTTTTTCGGTTGTCGTCAACCATTATCATTCAGCCGGGGGAACATTGATTATCATGCCATCGGGCTGGAGCCGTAACTTCTGAGGCTGAAGGTTGATTCAGGACGAGACTTTTGTGGCTGAAGAAACTGCAACTGCGCAGGGGGCTCCCCTCTAGTTGCTGGGACAGCGGGTCTGTGAGCAGAACCTCTGGTTGATTCATTTGAATGACCCATCTATGAGCTTCAGGCTATCAGCTTACCTCCTCATTGTGTATGCACAAACGACAAACTGAGTCTGGATGTATGTGCATCTGTGAGAAACACAGAAACACAGAGAACGCAGACTCACAGACTCACAGACTCACAGACTCACAGACACCTGTCACAGAACAGTCACAGACTCACAGACACCTGTCACAGAACTGTCACAGACTTACAGACACCTGTCACAGAACGGTCACACAGACAGACAGACAGACAGACAGACTCACAGAGAGTCACAGACACAGACACCTGTCACAGAACGGTCACACAGACAGACAGACACACACACACACACACACACACACACACACACACACACACACACACACACACACACAGAGAGAGAGAGAGAGAGAGAGAGAGA